CCAACATACTAACAATATGTCTCCAAATTTCCTGACGTTTTCAACTGTTTCATTTTAATTTAGCACAAGTGAAACATCTATTGTTTTGTGTGTTTTTTTAAAGTAAACTCAAGCAGTATTTTTGGCCCGCTGTGCCCAACCTTGAAAAGGTTCTGCAAGACTTTCTGACAGACATCAACCAACAGAAATGGGTAAATTAATTAACAGAAATGAATTGAACCCTACATGAATCACACCTAAAACAACAAATAATGCAACACTGGTACTGTTTATGTCGAGGTATAGCCTGAATTTAAATGCCATCATATATTAAATATGACTTCCAGGGCCCACCTGTCATATCAAAGCAGTGCTTTGAAGAAACCACTTCCTCAGTGGTGGAGATCATGTCTGAAGGTGAGATCCCAGGATCGATAAAGTCAGYTGGAGAAACGTCTGAACTCATGTCTTCTGATGAAAACCTCTCYGCTGAAGAACAACTCGATGGAAGCCCTGGGACCAAAGTCCTTCCGGACTATGTGACGCTGAACAAAGATCTGGCTTTTCTCTGCRTTGGAGAAAACAGTTACGTTTATGAGCAGGTTGCAGAGAGTGAAGATCCAGAAGTAGGGGGCGACTCTCTCCAAGCCCGTCCCAGTTCCTGCGCAGATGCTTGGACCGGTGTTGGACTGTGCTCAGGCAATAATTACTTTAACCGTTCCTACTTAACTACGTCCAAATCTGCAGAAACCTTAAGCAGCAGGATGAGTGCTGAAACTGCTGCAGGCAACCACTACACAAACCTTTCCTTGTGTTAAATCCACACCAGAGAATGTCTCCCCTCTGCACTTTTTTCCATTTTTTTTTTGTGAACCAGGATTTTACTTTAAATTAAAGCAGGTGGTAATAAAGTACAGCTGTACCTATTATTAGAAAACACACTCTGGTTTCAGGAGATGCTGTAAAACATGTTAGTTTTGAACGCAGCAGCTTTCCGATACTGTTCCTGGTCAACTGGCTTTTCGAATAGAGATTTAAAGGAATAACGACATTTTAAAAAAAATCAGCTAAATTTTTCGTTTTAAAGACCGTTATAGACATACAGTATGTTAAGAATGTGCCATGTCTTGTTCAAAATGCAAATAGATTGTTTATTTTATTTAGATTAATGACACAGTAGATTATTATACTCTCTTACAAAAGTTGATTTCTTTTCAACTTTCATCATCTGCAACACAAATG